AGTTTTCCTATTTCATTATGTTGTTCTAATTGGAAGATAGAATGTAATGAGATCCAAACCCTCTTTTCTTTTATCATCAGCTGTGCAGATCAATGAGCCAGGATTAACCAAAGCTTACTTGGGTTACAAAACACATTGCTTCCTCTTTATATGGTTAGTCTGGAGAGCCACTACTGCATCCAATAAAGCAAGTGAAATCACCCTGTGGTAGGACTGGTAGTATAGGGCAAATCCTGAACCTTTGAGCAAAACCAAAATAAAACTGAACCAGAATGGGCATACAAGGCATGGAAACTCTGCAACTAGTAGTAGAGTCTCGAGGATAGCCGCACAACCATGCTTCTCGTGGGCATGGAAAGGAATAGGAGACTCACAGCAGTTTGTCTATTATTGAAAATGTCCATAGGTCCATTGAAGTCTTGGGTTACATGGTTAAAGGTGAGCCAACAGCCTTGCTGAGTGATGGGGGCCTGGCTTCATGCTCCCAGAAGGGGCAGGGGCAGAGCAGCCAGCCCTCAGTGCCACCTGGACCATGACGCACGTCCCCTCCTCCAGCCGTCAGAGCTGCCTGGAGCACACTGTGTGGAGGTCTGGTGGTGATTTAAAGGGCCCGGGCTTTTAAGTCACTGGGCCCCAAGGCAGTTACCACTTTTCCCACCCCTCTGTCAGCAGCCCTGCATGGTTATGAAATGGGAAGAGGGTTCACTGCTTCTTCCCATTGGCCATCTTGGTACAACATTGCCAGCTCTTGGCTCTTAGTAGGTGGTTGTCTATGTAAATGGAATATAGGACTCAGAAATTGGCAGAGTCACAGGTCTTGGGGATTGTTTTCTATGCTTCTCAGTGCATTACCGTTGATCTCTAACACTCTCTCATGCCTAATCTACTTCATATAATTTCAGCATGTCCACTATGCTTGTGTCACTGAAACTATGAAATACCCCACGTCCAGCTGTAAACAAAGGGCTTTTCTGAGATGATTTACAGTGAGGTCTCAGCACCACAGATGCTTTACATAGGGAACTTCCACCCCAACCGGAAGCAGGAAGAACCAGAAATCTTACAAGAAAACCATTTTTGGGGCACGATTTCCAATCTAGTTTTTCAGTCTTAAGAGGCTTTGACAGTTTTGATTAATGTCAGTGTCCAGATCCTGAGTTGTGTAGCTTCTATAGAATGCAACTCCAGTGAAGTAAATGAAGCTAGGCCAAGTTACAGCACATGGGTATTTGGTCCTCATGAGGCTTTTTGTTGATTATCAGAGTTGAACTTCAATTCCATTAATTCACTTCTGTGTTACTGCTCATATATCTATGCAATATATTCCATTACACAAAAAATACAATATCAATAAACAGCCTATCTATACTTCGACTATTACAAAATTTACCCTTTCTCACTCCCAATATTTTTTGTTTGAAAACAGTAAACATTGTAAATGAATTTCCAACCTAATTTACTTTACTCCCTTAAGCACTGCAAATTCAGAAGTACAAAGAAAAACAACTGAAAATTTATCTAAGTTGTACTGAAACCATTGCTGAAAGGCTGGCCTACATTTACAGAAGTTAAGATTCATTCAAAAGGAAACTCAAATGAACAAAGGCAGCATCTTTCAGCTGAGATACCTAAGGTTTCTAAGAAAAATGTGTTGGCACCATTGACTTGGAGTTAAGGGCTAGTTTAGAAATATTTTTTCCTTCTTGAGAGCTTCACAGTGCAAAGTAGATGAGGGGGGTTAAAATGTGTGTGCAATAGAGACTAATAGAGAAATCACTTCAACTTTCGCTCAGTACTGTTCCAGCCAAAACATCTGCCTGTCACCCCATAAATGTCGCTACATTTCTGTTCCCTTTATGACAAAGGAATGGAGCTTTTAAGACACATTTAATAGCCAGCAGCTGTTTGGCTGTCAAATACCACATCTGGAGAAGCAGTGTGCTGTTAACGTGAAAAGAAACAATTGTTCTTTAATAGTTTCACTTAATTTTAAGAATTATACAAATCACAACAACAATAGAGAGCCATGGTCTTGAAAGAAACACATCTGGTTTCTTTGAAAACAATCTAAAAAAAGATCTCAGTAATTAACAGGAGCTGCATCTATTAACCACTGCAATTTCCAAAAGATAAATGAGTTAGCTATCAGCCTGATGGCATTTGGAAATAACCAATATTAGAGTCTTGACGTTATCTTTAACAGTATCCTTACAGCATTCTGCTTTTCCCTTTTCTCAGTTGTTTCTGTTCTCCAGAATCTCTGTCGTGACGTATAGCTCCTGCCTATTTCTTCATATATGACAATAAATTACCTCCTTTGTTTACTTGACATAGTTGCCTGAATAAACAGAAGGAACCTGAGCCAACATTCCTACTAAGCAAGAATGAGGATGAATCCAGTGAGGTCAATGGACTCACTAACTTCAGTGGACTTTGTATCAGAGAATTATGAATACTAGTATGCTACCCATATGAAAAAAGGGAACTGAGCACATGCCCAGAATCATAGCAGTCTTTTAGCTGCGTGTTGATTACTAATGGAAAGGGGGTCAACAGTTTGCCTTGCAAATTAGCCATTACTCAAATAGTGTGCAAGTTTCTGAATGGGAAAATTATGGTCTCCTTCTACATTTAAATGCAGAAAGGTATGGGGGAGGGGAGGAGAGAGACAGTGAAAATGTAAGTGGAACCTTAGGCAGTGAGAGAGAAAGCAGTAAGACAGAAATTCAAAGCAGACCAAAAATTATTTCCTTTTCAAACAAATGTAGTGTGAGTGGCCCTTTTGCAGAAACCAATAACCCACCAGTAAAACGTAAGTATCCTTTTGAACATCTCAGCCACACGAGGAACTCCTGAACACTCTAATACCAGAAAGATGACTGAAAATACGGTTGGAATAATCAGTCATTTCAATGGGCATCTTTCTAGATGTTGCATGCTCACTGTTGGGTGGAGAGAGCATGTGTGTGCACATATTTATATTATACTCACACGCTTCTCTCAAAAGATAAACTTTGGAACTTGTTTTTCAATCAGTCTTCAAACAGCCATCAAAAGAGGTAGGAATGGATACTTATCATTAATCTTGATGGGCAAGGGATGCACAAAGTGAGATCTCTTCTTATATTCCACCCAGGCAGAGAGAATCAAGAGAGAGAAATGAAATGATTATGTGGGACAAGAAAAGGAGGGGTTTATAGTACCATACAGTAAGACCATAAGGTCACTTTCTGATTAAACTACTCCCATTTTCAAGGATCTCCTGCACCCTCCATGCTGGTGCTTGTCTGCATCCCTGGAAAACCATGGTCAGACATGCTGGTCAGGTGTGCTGCCTGCTATGAGGTCTGCTCACCATGCTGGTTCCATAGGAAATGAAATTCAAATTTTCCTGGGACTTTTCCAGTTCACCTGGAGATCAGTAAAATTGAAAGTCTTGGCCAGAGCGGTCACCACTACTCCCAGAGGCCAAGAACTTTGAATTCCACAGTGCTACCTCTGCCCTACTATAAAGTTAACCATGCAAGGTCGAATTTAGCTTTACTCTTCAAAAAGCTGGAGTACCAAAATCGACTTTAACATCCCTTTAAGTTGCTGAAACAAGCTTGGTGATGTGGTCTTATTGTTTAGAAATTTGACCTAATGCATCTACATACAACCTAAACTCCCAGTGAAGACCAGGCAAAAGTGTTTAAATTAATAGCAGGCATCATTTTGAAAGCACCTTGATAGTTTCAGTTATCCATAACTGGATAAATCCAGATCAATGCAGCTAGTATGGTTCACTGTAGCATCCCATCTTTTTCTGAATTAGCATAATAAATGTAATAAGAAACACACAATGAGTATTCATTGTCCTGTTTACATGTTAGCGCATTCCAGGACAATATTTAAATTTATCACCAACTTTAACCTTTATTGGGGTCTTACGAACTGTGCTCCGGAACCTCAGCTAATGTAAATTGGTGTAGCTCTATGGAAGCAAGTGAGAGATTATGCTCCTTAAACCAACTAATGAGCTAGCCCAAGATGGCTTGGTCTGTTTTTCCCATATGAACCAAAAAGTCCATATTTACCATCCCTAAACAAAACACAACAAAGAATAGACAGTTTAATCTAGGAAGTCTAGAGCTCATTGCCTGGCAATGTGACAGTCTTTCACTTTATGTTACCAATTCAAATCCAGCTCAGAAGAAGCCAAGTCATTACACTGCAATAACTGTTCGGTGCCTGCACAAGATAGGTTGGAATCTTGTTAGTCAGGAGTTCCCATCACAGAACCATCATCACAAACTGCCATTAACTAGCGTCTCATCTCAAAAAAAGGTGCCCTCATCAGCATGTGGCATGGAAACTCTTCTCCTGTCCCAACTACAGATGTATTTCTGCCAGGTCACAGTTGAGCTACATTAGCAGGAAGGTAGGGGCAAGCTTGGAGTTTGGCTGCTGAGGCTGTAGCAGCTATTTTTTGGATAAAACCACTCCCATTTTCAAGGATACCAACCCAGCATTTCACAAGGATTAGGATAAAATACCTTATTAATTCTTTTAAATGTCCCTATGACAGGTTCGGTCATAGGGGTCCTCTTGAGAGCATCACAAAGTGTGCTGGTCATGCAACTGAGCCTGTCTACCTGGCCTCAGGGTGTCCCACCACCCTGTTCTGCCAAGCCAGAAGCTCTGGTCTCCCTCAGATAGGGCACAGAATCGGGATAAACATGTACAAGATCTGTACACTCAGTAATTTAGCCTATTTCTGTTGACCAAATTAGCAGATATGGTTTTCCAGAGGAAAAACTAGAAGTAGGAATGAGATCTTAGGAGAAGGAAACATTACAATTTTGAGGAACACATATCTGACACACAACATTTTGATTGAACATCAAGAGAAAAGGTGGTGTTCAGATCTAAGCCATGGGAAGTGCTGTTTATAAGTTTCCAGTATTTATGGAATGTGTCTGGTGCCTTAAAAAGGAAGATTTTCTGGGAAGAATTAATACCTTTCAGTCTCGGCCAATTCATCGGTGCACAGCTCTAGAGCATTTGCTGCATCTTCATTCATTTTTTGGTACAGTCCACAATGCATCTGTCAGAAACAGCAAGGAAAAAAAGTCACACTGAGGAATACAACAATTTGAGTGGGGGCCAGGCTCTTCCCTGCGCAGAATTTTTAGTGCATGAATCAGATGGGAAGAAAATCATATTTGAAAGATGCTTTTCAGCACTTGGCTCTCTCTGTCTTGCCCTTTTTACTCTATCAGTTTTTGAGGCTGTCAGGTGGACTGTCAGACCATCACAGTGTCTGCAGAAATGTGTATCCTAAATACAGATATTCTAAATAGAGAGACATAAGGATGATGCTGCCTTCATCCCATGACTCCTCTGCCATCAATAGCACCTGCATTGTTGGTGGGAAGGGACAGTAGCAGGACTCTGGCAATCCCAGACCCCCTCCGTGAGTCCAAGCACAAAGCAACATTTGTGCCCATAGAGCTGGAGAACAGAACTTGACTCACCAAAGAGACATTTAGAGATTTTTATTCTTTAATAATATAAGTGGAAGGATATTTAGAGGATCAAACTGCTATGACCTAAATACTCCATTAAGGCTCTCCAGCAATGCAGTAGTGTTTGATGGATTTGCTCTGAGACACAGTGAGCTGAGTGCAGGATGGCAGCAGGAGTGGGAGAGGCGACTTGCAAGAGATTCTCTCTGAAGTACAAATTTTCTCCCCTCAAGCTTATGAAGAGGGGTTCCATGTCTGGGCAAGGGGGCTCAAAGGCGGGGGATAGAGCAATCACATTGCTTCCTATTTCTTTCTTTGGAGTGGTGTGTGTCACAGGGTGTACACAGCCAACAGTTCTGGCATTGCATGGTGCTCATCAAGTATAGTCGTGAAAGTCTCTTGTTTAGGAAATGCAAGGATGGAGCAGCCTCCTTATACTCTTCCCCTTCCCTATGTACGGACCAGTCATCCTATGGCCCTGCTGCTCCAATGTGCAAAATCAGAAAAGAAGAAACTAAATGTAGGGGAACCCAAGAAAAACCTTCTGAAGCAAAGATTTCAACAACCACTACTGCATGGGAGAAAAATTGCACTTAAATAGCTCCCTTCCAGCCGAAGATCAAAAAGAACTCAAACATGCATTTATTAAATCTCACAACACCCTTATGAAGTATTATACCCATTTCACACATGGGGAAACTGAAGCACTGAACTATTAAGAGCATGGTCGCATGCCCATTTCAACTCATGAAGTTCTTTCTATTGATGTCATTGTGTGCTGGCTCAGGCTTTGTGCCCTGTGGGGAGTTACTGGCTCATTCAGGAATGAAACCCAGAAATCCTCTTTTTCACTTCGTTGCTCTAACTGTGTGTCTAGAACTACAGGGTTTTTTTTTTAATTGTCTTTTTTTGAAAAAACTTCCCCTGCATCTAGACTGCTGCCATGTTCTTTCGAAAGTAAATTGAAAGAACGTGGCAGTTTTTTTGATCGCAGTAAACCGCATTTTATGAGGAATAACACCTTTTTTGAAATTACGCTTTTGAATGCAAACTGTGCTTTTTCAAAAGAGCGTCTAGACTCTCTTTCGAAAAAGCGGTTCGCTTTTTCGAAAAATCTGCTTGTAGACTAGACTCTCTCTTTCAAAAGAAGCTTTTTCATAAGTATCTTTTGAAAAAGCCTCTTTCGAAAGAGGCTTGCAGTCTAGACATAGGAGAACAATTGCAACACTCATATCTGCTTTTAGAACACTAGTTCTATCTCCACCTACCCAGGGCCGGCCTTAGGCCGATTCAGCCGATTCTGCGGCGTGGGGCCCCGCGCCTGAGGGGGCCCCATGCCCAGGGAAATGAAGCATGCGCCGTGCGCCAGGAGCACGACGCTTGAGTGCGGACCCGGGTGCATGGCTCATGCATCGTGATGTCTTGGGCGCATGGCGCATGCGTCGTGCCTCTAGCACGCAACGCATGCGCCGTGCCGCCCGGGGCCCCACGCATGTGCAACCCCGTCCCTGGAATCAGGCCCCGCGCTCTGTAGAGCGAGCCCTGCATCTATCTATTGTGACCTGTGTGATTTCAGAATATCAAATAGAAAGATAACAGTGTGAACACTGAAATAAAGTGGGAAGTCATACCCAAAGAATAGCAATAGAGATGTAGCCATGTTAGTCTGGTCTTGCTGAAACAAAAGACAGGACTATGCAGCACCACTAACCATCTTGTTAGTCTCTAAAGTAATGCATAGTCCTCTCTTTTGTTTCATGCCCAAAGAACCCAAATGAGTTTTCAATTAGAGATAACTATCTTTATTAGTAAGATTAACAAACTGAAACCACGGGAGAACATTTTATAGACACCATACTGCTTCACCTGTACACACTGCAGAAACTTAAAATAAAAAATTGCCAAGGTAAGATCTGAGCTGTTTACCTTCTTGTTTTCTTAGATTCCCATCCCTGCAGGCACTTCACACATTTTAAATGCATCTGGTAATCACTAATTACAAAGATCCCACTAGAAAAGAATGGCATTTCAGTTTCATGTGAAACTTGATTCCAGCTTTCCTGAGTTTTACGAGTGACTTGAATTATAACTAAAATGTGTTGCAATGTTTAAAGTTGTAGTTCTTTGGCTTCAATTGGAGCAATGAACACTTAGTATCTCTGAAAATTAGGCCATTTATGTAAGTGCCTGAATTTAGATTAAGATGCCTAATGTTAGAGATATCCAGATTGATAATTTTGGACCTAGATGTAAAAAACCCTGAACCTATCAAATGAAAGAAACTGTTCAAGGAAAAGTAGTTCAAGTTGTTTAAGGAAAAATTCAGATTGCCACTCCATCCATATTTTATTCTTGAAAAAGCTAGAAATGTGACCAAACATGAAAATTTGGTTATCGCCGGAGTCTCAGATCAACATGCCATGTTAGACATTATAGTGTCAAAATATCCAAGCACGATGGGCCAAATGCAAATGGTGTATGTTAGATTCATTCAACTTTATTACATTTACTCATGGATGTGTAAAGGAGTCATAGTAAATGTAATTTAGACATCAAGGGACTGGGAAATAAAGTTTGATACCTTTTTACACATGCCTGTTACTTGCTTCACAGACAAAGGTGAGCCAGATTCAGAATGTATATGGGATATGTGTTGTACATTATACATTGGTGAGTGCACTGAAGCCACACACGTTGCGAACATTTTGGAAAGGAGGTAAATGTTAAACTTCAACTTTCTGGCAGAGGGGAATGTTTTAGGGTATGTCTACACTAACCTCCTAGTTCGAACTAGGAGGGTAATGTAAGCATACCGCACTTGCAAATGAAGCCCGGGATTTGAATTTCCCGGGCTTCATTTGCATAAGCGGGGAACAATTAATAAAAAGCCCAGTAAATAAATTATATTACACTGTAAAAAATAAGTTACTAGAAAATATTAGCACTACACACAAACACCACAAATCTATTTGTCATAATTGGTGAAACAACTTAGATTCAAACTTAGTTCTGTTTGTGAACGAGACAATTTCCTTGAAATGAAGTGTTAAAATAGCCTTTGACTTGCTCTATCCAGAAACATAACATATAAAAATTAAGGCTGCTGCTGCTCTCTAAGGGTATGTCTACACTACCCCGCTAGTTCGAACTAGCGGGGTAGTGTAGACATACCCTTAGAGAGCAGCAGCAGCCTTAATTTTTATATGTTATGTTTCTGGATAGAGCAAGTCAAAGGCTATTTTAACACTTCATTTCAAGGAAATTGTCTCGTTCACAAACAGAACTAAGTTTGAATCTAAGTTGTTTCACCAATTATGACAAATAGATTTGTGGTGTTTGTGTGTAGTGCTAATATTTTCTAGTAACTTATTTTTTACAGTGTAATATAATTTATTTACTGGGCTTTTTATTAATTGTGAAAATTAAAATTAAGATGCTTAAAAATTCAGCTATTTCAAGTAATAGAGTCATAAGTCTCTGCAGGAAGTGAGTTTGTAATATTTAGGTAGAAAGGGCTTTTAAAATCAGCAGTAGAGTTACAAATTACAATGATGAATTATACATATATTTCTTAGCTATCAAGCCACTTAAAAGAAAAAAAATCCCACAAATTGGAATTTTTCAATTTCTTCCAAAATTTCCACACGCACACCTATTAAATTTTGCAATAACAAAAACAATTTATGTTTTGGAAAGATGTTTTCAAGGAAAAAAGTTTCTCCTTATTTTATTCTTGAAAAAGCTAGAAAATTGACCAAACACGAAAATTTTCCTCACAAGATTTCATTTTGATCGAAGAGGCATTTTTCATTGAAAAGATGCTAACAAAATTTGACCATCTAATACATTGTCATTCATAAAGTTGAATGACATTAGCCAGCCCCTTAAAGAAGTGCAGAAGAGTTATTAAATTGTTAGCAAGTTTCTATTTTATGTAAATTAATTTCTGTGAAGTTTTCATTTTGTTTATTTCCTTCACACAAAATACAGCTCTGCAACAATCCACAGAAAATGGTAACAGAAAATGCCACAGTGGCAAAATCTGCAGTACAATTCTGGAAAACAGCCAAAATTTTAGTTCTTTCCTTCTGACTCCGGCAAATTTCTATGCATTTAAGTACCTCTAATGCAAATCCTGCATTTGTAGGCTTCTGCCTCTACTGCTTACACACATAAAAAAAAAATCACAAGAACAGAAACAGGTAATCATACAGAAATGAAAGCCACAGGCTTTCAGACTTGTGGAAACAGAAGCTCCTTGTCTCTCTCTGTAGATAAAATGAGATAATTGTGGGGGAAAATCATTTACATGTGCTGCTTTCTGGCTTCTCCTGTGGGCTAAAGGGGGAGAAAGGAGAGTGTTCCTAACTGCTGACAGATATAACTTGCATATAATTTAGAAGAATTTCATAAATTACTGAGAGCTATATCATCTGAGGTTTCCACATTTTCCACTCTCAGGTACTGTATTAAATGTGTGGTGTAATTGTAGATATGTGAAAGAGTGCGCACATGGGAGAAGTCATGGGGAATTCAGTATGTGTGTGGTAGGGGA